CTAAGATGCCGGGCTACCACTTCAAAGACGTAGCTCGTTGCCGCCTCGACAGTCTTCCCGATCAAGAATCGACGATTTCGTTTGTTTAAACCAAGAGACGCCGTCACGTCCATCGACAAGACTGATAAATCGTGTGATGCAGCAGGCGGAAGTGACGATCTTCCGTCCCGATTCAAGCTGTTCAATTTTCTCGCAATAACGGCGAAAATGTTCGGCAAGGTGCCACCGTCGAATACACCAGGGCCGCCTTCGAACGATGGGACGACGTCGGTCAAGTCGTGCGTCAGGCCAAGTGGAGCCGCGTGTTTGCCGTGTTTCTCGGTCGACGAGACGCCGGCCACGCTCACCGAGGAGAAGTCGAAACCTTGGAGGCCGAAGGACAACTGTATGCCAGTGGTCTCCGAAGCACCCTCCATGGGGATGGAGGACAAGCAGAAGCTCTGGCGATCGAAGGAGAATTGTACCTGTTCTGTCATCTTCGAACCACCTTGCATCGCCGATGACAAGTCGAAACCGAAGAGAGTGAAGGACGGATCGTGCCCTCTGAACGAGTATTCTACGCTCACGGAGGACAAAACGATACCATGGAGATCCAAGGAGAATTGTAACGTCAGCGTGGTCCCTGATGTGGGGATGTGCTCGGTCGAGGACAAATCGAAAACGAGGAAATGCAAGGAAACGTGTACGCCTTGCGAGTGTTTAGACGATAAGAAGGCTCGAAGGTCCACGAAGGAGTGTAACAACAAGCTGACGATGGAGTCAGCTTCCGTAGACGATAAGTCGAAGGTTCGAAGAGTCCCGAAAGACGGTGGTAACACTGGAGGTGTCGATTTGTACGGCAGCTCGCAAGCATCTAGCTCCGCGCCTAACTTCTCCCAAGCGTCCATCTCGCTCGTCGAGGTGAACAGAGCTGGCAGGATCGAGTCGACCGGGTGCCTGGTCGCGAAGAACTCTTGCTCCAAATACTCGGTCAAGGAGGCTTCTGGCCACGGAAGAAGTCACACGGGACTGGCGGCAAAGACGACGAGTGTTGCGTCCAACTTGTCCGCTCACAAGTGCACGTCGAACTCTAATTGCACGAGTTACGGGAAATCGTCGGCCAGCGCCGTGAAATCGCAAAGGATACTTTGTTCCACGAGCCTGAGCAGTTTGAACGTCGATCCTGGCTCGAGAGACTCGTCAAAACTGGCGAAGAAGCACACCGGTCCGAACCGCGAATTTCTCGCTGGCAAGGAGCAACATTTGTCCGGAGGAAAGTCTATTTCCAGAGAGACGCAGAAGAGTGTCGCGCAGAGTGCACCATTGGCGGCAAGCAAACCCGCGAGGTCTTCCGACGTAACAAAACATTCGGTGTCGAACGGGAAAACTCGTCCCGTCTCGGAAACCAACGACGAGCACGGTGAATCGCCGATGGACTTTACGGCGATCTCTGTGATCCAGTCGACTGACGAATCCTGCCAGAACTCGTCCGCCAAGTCGTACATCGCTGACAACGATATCGTGGAGTTGGTAGTTTCGGCCACTTCCACATCGTCGGCTAGCTACGAGCAACGAAATTGCAGAGGTGACTTCACCACGTCGACACCGTCGAAAGACTGGATGAAATCTAACGGCGACGCGTTGCAGAGTTGCATTTCCTGTTTGCCGCAAGATCTTCCAACGGAGCTTCAGTTGCCTACGTCGCGAAGTTACAGGGAACGAGAAAAGTGCCGTGATCCATGGCGACCCACCGAAATGGAAAGCAATATCTGCAGCCTGAACGCAGTGTGTCCTGGTGATACGTATCAGGATACCGGCTCGAAAAGGAGAACAGGTGCTTCCTGCCAGGCGTTGAGGCATGCGGTTGCCTCGTTGAACCGATTGGATGACTTTTACATGGAGAAGATCGGTGCCGGATTCTTCTCGGAAGTGTTCAAGGTAGGATGAAATTCTTTCCTATATATCGCCTAACTGACGATTTCAAATTCGTTCGAGGATGATAAAATAACACATGGAAGTTTTACAATTCGTAGAGGAAAGTAACAGGGCTCTCGGACGCGTTTCGTAATAAAGTAGTTATATCGCGAATATATTTCGCTCGGGACGATATTCTCGGCTCGTTTCTCACCGAGGAATTTGCAGTTAGGATACGAATAGTAATTAGGCATAGCGATTAGGAAAGTTTTCTCTTTGATATAACAGCTCTTTTTTTCTTTCTCTTTCTACGTTTCATTTTCTTTCTCTCCGTTTTTTTTTTTT